TTACATGCGGTGCGGGCAGCCGTGTGTCTGCATGTGGGAAGTACGCAGACCTCTGCCGCCAGCGTACCGCAAGAACAGCAACAACAACAACAACAACTATTACTACTGCTGCTGGAGAACTAAAGGCGGTGATGGCATATGTAGGTAGTAGGGATTTTAATTATTACGAATGGTGGAATAACACGAAAGAGAAGTTGAAAAAGGAATGTCGGGAGAACGCCGATCATGAGGTTGAAGGAATAAATTGTACGAAGTGGTTACAATCTCCACATCAAGAGCAAGTAACTAACCTTAGACAAGGCTCAGGAGATCATGCAATGGGCGAAAATGCAGTAATAGGAGATGGTGTCCAAGGGGTGGACATCAACCAACCTGTTGGTGCACATAGGCCTGGTTCAGTTGAAATGCCAAGGACAGTGATAGCAGAAGAAGGTCAACAACAAGAAGGAGGTACACTCGGAGAAGTAAAAGCCTCTGGAAGTCCAAAGCAAAAGGTTGAATCAAAAGACCTTGTAAGTGCTCCTGAAGCTGCACAACGGAATGAAGTAATACCGTCGACAAAACGACAAGGAGAAGACTCCAATGTAGCTATACATGGTAATCAAGGAACACCGAACAACACATCTGTTAACACTGTAACCGGTGAAGACCAACCTACCCAGCAGTCTCCTCTAGCTGTTAATGCGACTGCCGCACCAGACTCAAAAGAAAGCACTAACAATAACGAGAGTACAGATTCCAGTGCTTCTGGCTCAGACATGGGTGTGACTGCGAAAACGGAAACAGAAGAAACCAATTCCACTACTCCGCCGAGCACCGAGAATACTACCACAGAAGCACCAACCACCACTCCATCTCCTGTTCCCGTAACTGACCCACAGATCAGCACCATCACTTCCGCCGTACAGAAGAACAAGGCTAATGTTGACAGCAGTGTCAGTCCTGTGTGGATGCGCACTGCAGCACCGCTGCTGATTGTGCTTGTGTTGTTCTCCGCTACCGTGTACTGAACGGTGGGACTTATCTGAGGGTTAATAATAATAATGGTTAAACTAACATAATCATAATTGCGTACATCCACCCCATGGGTGAATAAACTAATAATCTGTTTACCAGTATTATCTTTTAATTGGAATATCTTTTCTTTTACTTTTATGTGTGTGTGTTCTTTTTCTAATAATTCCATTACTTGCTTTTTCCGTTGTGTGTTTGCAGAAAACTGGGCTGTTCTGCTCACTGACGGT